TTTGTTTCTCTTTTCCGGCCCCTTATTACATCACCTGGCACACCTGCTCCACATCCCACAATTATCACCGGCTGCACCTTATCAGTTCTGCCCTTATTCATACCCCGCTCACACATCACTCCTTTGCCAGTTCATTTACATTCTCTGGACCTTACCTTGCCATATTATTTTTGGCAAGCCCTGTTTGCTTCTCCTAGTCCCTTTGTTTTATGTCCTGGACTCCCGTTTGCCTCTCCTCTACCTTACGGCTTTATTTTTTGTCACTCCACGGACTACAGCCTCCGGACCTTGGCTCCTCTCAACCTTTCCCGTCTCCGCCCGACAGGTCGCTGCACAGTCATCTTTTGCCTTCTACACTACCCCTCTCTTCTTCTCTCCACAGTAACCTCTGTACTCCCACTGACCAGCTCAGGGGTGACCCAGCGACGCAGCTCGGCTCACTTCATTCATCTCATCATTCTGCTACTGCTACTGCTGATCGGCACCCGGTTACTCTATTCATCCCCGCCTGACAATTTTTCCTGATCACATTATTGCACTCTACATAAATAAATCACAGCTTGCACTGAAGTTCGCCGCCTGGGTCTGTCTTTTCTTATTGCTCACTCACTTCCATGTACGAGCAATTATAACTTCTTTGGTGTTTGTGTTGTCAGAGATGACGTAGTATATTGAGCTCAGGTGTTTTCAGTGTGAGTCAGAGCAGAAAGCTGATGTGGGTTATAAGCTATTATTTCTGTGTAGCTTCTTCCGGTTCTTTCAAACCAGGAACTCTCAATGAGACGAAAGAGACTGCTTTAGATTTTATAAAAAATAACCGTGCTGGTTTATTCAGAGGATCACAGGTAAAACTCACAGTACACGTCCAGAGCTCTCTCACCCCTCTACCTGCGCGCAGGCAGCAGAAAAGCTGAAAAAAGTCTGGACCCAACAACCTATATAATATTAATCATTTTTGGGCTAGCCCATGCTACAAGGGGCGTCAAACCGTGACGCCACCCGATAAGCAAGCTTTGCAGCTGCTCTATCGTTTAGCCAAAACATGAGGAAAAGTCAAGGTGCGTGACTGTTGTTTTCGTGGTGTGTATCTAAACAATTGGACATAACCTTACACAGTAAGACAAATATTAAGACTAGCATTACAGTTGACACTAACAGCAGTTTTCCTGTAACCTTGACGTGCCTGCAATTTTACTGCAGGCTAATAGTTACATCAAACTAGTCACCCTGTCTGCACTAAACATTCCTAGACAACAAATCTCTGAATATCTATCTAACTAAAAAAGCTAGTCACCCTGTCTGCACTAAACATTCCTAGACAACAAATCTCTAATCCATATCTATCTAACTAAGAAATAACCTAACAGGGTTAAATATTAACTGTGGTGATCTGATCTTTGAGCTGAGCTGCAGGTTCAGACTGGTGCTTGTTCTCCAGTGTTTCAGTGTGACTGCAGACTCAGCAAATGAAGGAAGAGAAGAGCATTATCCCACTCAGATCGGCATAGAGTTGTTTCTCTGCATAGAGCTGGACCACACAGCACAGAAGGACAGAGTACAGAAGTTCATGAGAAGAAGCTGAGTAAGTGGAACTTTGATTCAGTCCATTCTCTGATGTTTCCTCTTCATCACAAATGAACTGCTGTTAGTGTTTTTGGTGTGTTGACATTGAGAACAGAAGAGACTCATTATTTCATCAGTGATTTCTCACATCTCCATAATGTCTCCACAGCACGCAGTTCATCCAACAGCACAACACAGCTCAGTGTTAACACAGCAAGTAGATTAGAGGTTTTCTCTCCTCGTGACACAGAAGTCAGATCAGGTGGAGACTAACAGTAGCGTGTCTTTTCATAGAGAGCTGCTGTCTGCACTTCGCATTGTAGCTGTCACTGGTTCATCCTTTAACACAGCTAGTTTGAACACTGAACATACTCTTAACAAAACCAGAAACGAAAGAGTCCTGATCTGAGATCTTGGAACAAATGTAGGATCTGGCTCTGATACTGGGTTGCACTTTAGACTTTGGTACTTGAGTTGTTTTATGAAGGATCATGATCCATATTTATTTCATTTTACAGCTCAGTGACTGGCAGTGGTTCCAGTGCTGGCAGTGGGTGTCAGAAACACTTGTTTACAAATATTTATTTTTAATCATTTTTAACATGAACTGTATTTTATCTTAGAGTTTCAAAAGTATTACAGTGGAACACATAAAGACTAAACATGGAAATCACTGTATCAAAACCCTGTCAAATACTGAGTTGTGTGTCAGCTACAACTGATAGCAACAGTGTTAAGAAACACTGGAACTTTTCAGCCCTCAGTTCAGTCTGAGATGAGATGCCTTCATCTAGTGGAGTGGCAGTAGCAGTGCAGCAGCAGCTGATGGCAGCTTCTTCTGCCTCACACTGCTGTCTGGCTGCATTCAACTGACACTGAGAGGAAAACAGAGAAGAAGCAGATGATGTTTTCACGGGGTAAATGATGGAAAGCAGGACGTGAATGATGTGTTTTCTCTCCAGGTCAAGGGAGGAAGTGTGTGAGCTGATGTGGATCCAGCAGCATGAGTCAGAGTGAGGACAGAGAGGAGGCAGTCCCTCTCTCTAAAACCAGTCTGTGTGGGGACCATGGGAGCCAGAGCAAAGCTCAGAGGTGAGATGAGGGTCTCCAACTGGAGGACCACCAGGACTCTTCTCCATGTCAGAGCTCAGCAACACACATCACTGCAGCATCTGTATTCACACTCACAGCTCTGTGTGTGTTGTGTTCAAGGCAAGAGCAGCAACAGGCATCAGGGTCTCCTGGACCTAGACCTGGACTCAGCTGTGTCTCCATGAAAAATGATAAGCTAATAACCCATTCTGTGAATTTCAGACAATCTGGTGATGGAGTGTCAGAACTGACAGAAATGTTTCACACAACAAATTAGTTGTATTGTTTATTAAAAGCTTGAACATCTTTTTCACCAGTTT